TAGTAAATTGTATCTCAATTCAAAAAATTTTATTTATTTGTTTTTTATTTTTGAATCATTTTCTTTTTGATTACAGTTGACATACGTTATTATATTAGTTTCAGGTGTACACTCAGTGATTAGACATTACATAACTTACTAAGTTATCATCCAGATAAATCTTGCACCTATCTGGCATGATACATAGTTATTAGAATATTATTGACTATATTCCTTATACTGTACTTTTAAATCCCCGGGACTATTTTGTAACAACCAATTTGTACTTCTTAATCCCTTCATCAGATTCACCCAACCCCCAACACCTGTCTCATTTGGCAACCATCAAAATGTTCTCTGTATCTATAACTCTCTTTATGTTCTGCTTATTTGTTTATTTTGGTTTTTTTAAAGGTTCAATTGTTGATAGATATGTATTTATTGCCATTTTATTGTTCATGTTTTTCATCTTTTTTCCTTCTTTTTCTTGAGGAAGACCCTTTAACATTTCATATAATACTGATTTGATGGTGATGAACTCCTTTAGCTTTTCCTTGTCTGGGAAACTCTTTATCTATCCTTTGAGTATAAATGTTAGCATTTCTGGTAGAGTAATCTTGGTTGTAGTTCCTTACTTTTCATCACTTAGGCTATTTCTTGCCCATCCCTTTGGCCTGCAGTTTCTGAGAAATCAGCTAACAGTCTTATGGGAGCTCTTTAGTGGGTAACTAACTGCTCTTCCCCGGCTGCTTATAAGATTCCTTTTTTGTCTTTAACCTTTTGCATTTTAATTATGATGTGTCTTGGTGTGGCCCTCTCTTCTCCTTCTGGCATCCCCATGATAAGAATGTTGGTTCTCTTCAGGTTGTCCCATAGGTTCCTTAAACTATTTTCATTTTTTAAAAAATTCTTTTTTTCTTTTTTGCTGTTCTGATTGGGTATTTCTTTTTTGCATCCTTAAATTGCAAATCACTGATATGATTATTGGCTTCATCTATTCTTCTGTTGATTCTCTGCAAATTATTTTTCATTTCAATTAGTGTGTCCTTTTTTTATGCTGTTGAAGTTCTCACTGAGTTCCTTGAGGATCCTTACAACCAGTGTTTGGAACTCTGTATCTAGTAGATTGCTTATCTTCATTTTGTTTAATTCTTTTTCTGAAGTTTTAATCTGTTCTTTCACTTGAAACATGTTTCCTTGTCTCATTTTCCCTGCTTCTGTGTGTCTGTTTCTATGTATCAGGTAGAGCTGCTATGACTCCCATGCTTGGTAGAGTGGCCTAATGTAGTAGGTGCTCTGTAGGATCCAGTGGCATAGCCCTCCTGATCACCCAAGTTGGACACTCAAGTTGCACCTTCCATGTAAGCTGAGTATACCCTCTTCTTGTAGTTGAGTCTTGATTTCTATTGGCATGTCAATGGGACGAATTTACTGCAAGGCTAGTCAGTTGCAAGGGTTGTCTGTGGCCTGTGACCACCAATCTCTAACCATGGTGGAGAATCCACTGTGAAGGGATCTTCTCCGCAGAGCTGTACTTACTTTAGCAGGGATCTGATGCCTGCTGAGTCTGCTCCTTGACTGTGTCACTTGTGGAGGTGTTTGGGTAGTGATGTTTCAAAGTGGTCTGAAGCTGTTCACTAAGTGCATTAGCTCTGTGGCCTCCTAGGAGGTGCATGCCAAGAGCAGTTGTCATCTGTGTCCTGTGTGGGGCCACCCAGCATGAGTTACAATGTGATCAGCAGGTGGCTGCTATTTGTGTTGGACTTGGAGGTGCCCAGGCACACCCAAGCTATGAACTGAGACTGGTTGTCACTAGTGCTGGGCCTGGTGCCATTTAGTGAGAGGTATGGGGCATGCTGGGCCAGATGCTGCTTGTTTGAGAGATTTTAGGAAAACTTGATGCATGAGCCAAGACAAGCTATTTGTAAGGAAAAGACACGGGAAACAGCTTAGGTGGCCTGAAAGTTAGGTAGGGCAGGGCCTCAGGGAATCACCAGGATGAGGTTAAGAGTGTGAGCCAGGTTGATGGAGTCTCAGCTATGGCACCTGCCTGCTGTGGAGGAAGGGCTCATCAAAGGACCAATGGCCTCTGCCAGCAATTATGTCTAGTAGAAAGCTGTCCCTCGCAGCTCTGGCCCAGATGCCAGACAATTTAGTTCCTCCCTGTATGGCCCTGGCGCCTTCCAAGTTACTGCCTCAGTGCTGGAACATGGAGGGAGTGAGTCATAGTAAGTCCATGTGTGGGCCCTTAAAGATGAACAGCCTGGGACTCCAGAAACCTCCGCCTCCTTCCATCACAATCTCTGCTGGTTGTTATGGCCAGAAGTTGTGAGGACTTCATTTCTGGCACTGAAACCCTGGGCTTGGGGGCCTGGTGCAGGGCTTGGGCCACTTGCTCCTCACAGGTGCCCTCTGCAGCCAAGATATCCCTCCCAATTTTTATCTGCCACTTGTGAGTGTGGGATCAACCCATTCTGCAGCTCCGCCCCTTGTACCAGTCTCAGCTTTTATGTGGCTTCTTTAAATCCCTAGTTGTAGGGCTTCTATTCAACCAGATTTCAGGCAGTTCTAAAAAATGGTTGTTTTGTAGTTTAGTTGTAATTGTGATATGGTTGTGAGAGGAGGCAAGTGCCACAATTACCTACAATGCCACCTTGCCTGGAAGTTTTCAATTTAAAATAAAATAAAAAAATGGAAATACTCAGGCCCCACCACAGACATAATGAATTAGATTAGATAGCAGTGGGGTCCAGTAATCTTTTTCTAAAAAAAAAGATTTTATTTATTTAATTGTAGAGAAGGGGAAGGGAGGGAGAAAGAAAGGGAAACATCCATTGGTTGCCTCCAGGGGATCAGACTCCCAACCATGGCACCGTATCCTGAACAGGAATCAGACTGAGGACACTTCACTTTGCAGGATGACGTTCACATCACTCAGGGCCCAGTAATCTGTCTTTTAAGAAGCTCTCCAGGTGATTCTGATGTTCCTAAAGGTTGAGAATGCTTATCTCTAGCCGTGTCCTCCCCCTTCTTTCCAAGGATAGTCCCTTTCATGTACTGTGGTAATCAATCCCTTGATTTTCTCTGTTTTTCACATCTATTTATCTTCATTTAGTTTTCCTTGTTTTACATTTATAAAAATACAATCACTGTTTTGTTTTTTTTTTTAAAGATTTTATTTATTTATTTTTAGAGAGAGGATAAGGAAAAGTGAAAGGGAGGAAGGGAAACATCAATGTGTGGTTGCCTGTCACGCATCCCCTACTGGGGACCAGGCCCGCAACCCAGGCCTGTGCCCTGACTGGGAATCAAAGCAGAGACCCCTGGTTTGCAGTCTGCTATGCTGGCCAGGACCAATCACTGGTTTTTAAGGGGGGAAAACCCCCCCAAAACAACCAACTGCAGGCTAGAAGATAATGGTATAATTCTCTTGAAATTCTAAGGGAAAACTCTGTCCAGCTTAAAATTCCAAACCTAGTTAAGCTATCATCCTAAAAAGGTAGAATAAAGGCATTTTTAGAGTTGTAAGGGCCCCTAAATTTTACTCCACATTGACCTTTCTAAAGATGCTAATGGAAGAACTTAATTTATTTACAAAAATAAGCAATTAAAATGTGAGAGAAAAAAAATAAGACATAAGCTCCAGGAAACCAGACTGATCATAAGAAAGAGGTGAAGGAAATTCCTAAGACGATCATGTGCTGGCTGTTTACTTACTGTCTTTCAGGCCCACAGTGAATTTTCTGTATGCTTCTTTGTAACGCTGGAACTGGGACTCTGCAAACTAGGCTTAAGGCTGACAGGAATGCTTGCATTCCGGCGGCTGCTTTTTTGCTCGGACTACATTTCCCATAGGGTCTGCAGCTCGAAGCTACTTGTGCCGTGAACTGGCCGCCTCGTGCTTTGCATACCCACGATAACCAGGCCGCCAGCCATGAGTAGGACTGGCAACTCTATCGGCCAACCCTCTCCATCTGCGAACTGTCCTGGGTCAGGGCCTTGGTGTCAGGTTTGGTGCCGATGAACGGTAGAAGAGCTCAAACACCGCTTCTCTGCGGAGGAATGGCCGGGGCCGGGGGCGCTGTGGGCCGCCTCAAAACTACATTTCCCAGAGGACTCCGCAGGCGGGCGCTACGTTCGGCGGGCTTTCGGCAGCCTCTTTACAGAGTGGCGGGACGGTTGGCGGATTTACCTCCCCCGGAGGCTTTGGATCCTGGTGCGACTTGGCCATTTTGCACTAGACCGGAACTAGGGAAGGACTAGGGTGAGGAGTCTGGGTCCTGGCCTTTAGTGTCTGGAGCAGGCTGACGGGCCGGTCCTTTCGTATCCCAAGGGAACTGACAAGAAGAGATCATTTTTGTGTGGGAGAGATTGAGATTGTTACTGTCTTCGTGGTATGTGATTGTGACTGTACGTGGTGGTAACTCTGGGTGATGGAATGGAGTGCTTGTGACTACGTAGTCTCACAGTGGGAATGTGATTGTGACTGCATGACTGTACCATTGTGCATGGGGATGTAGAGGGATGGTGATCGTGCAGTTGGGTCTGTGTGTCCCTGTGGTGGGTGTGTGATTGTGCAGCATCGTGTGTGTGGGAATCGGAGGTCTGTGACTGTGTGGTGGTAGGAGCCTGACTGCAGGTGCAACTCGTGTGACTCGGTGTGTGTGTATTTGTGTGAGTTTGTGATTGGTTGTGGGGCAATGGGTAGGTCAAGGTGGGAAGCCTGTGGTAGTGGGATTGGGATTTTGTGAATCCCCTAGGTGCATATATGGGATTCTAAGTAATCAGGAGACTTGGTATAGAACTATCTGTGCACAGAGGGAATGGAAAGTTGTGACTGGGCTAAGGGTGACTTTACCACTTTCTTTGCCTAGGAGACTGTCTCTATCCGGTAATTACGTTGGGTTATACTCTTCAGTGTTCCCTGATCTTCCTCTGCATGTATGTGTGGATGGAGAGGGGCTAGAGGAAGGGTGGGATTGAAAAGCCAAGTGTCTCATCAATTTCTCCTTTCCACAGTTCTTTCACTAAGAGGAAGAAGAAAGAATGGTTATTGAACATTCAAAGGCCACGATCAAGGTGCTTTGGGGTTTTTCTTTCTTCCCTGAAATCTGTCTTGTTTTTCAGGGCATAATTTTTTTCCTCTTCTGGCAGTTCCCAATAACCAAAGCCTATTTAAGAGATCTTGTCCTTACTACTCCCCATTTAGATACATAATGGGGGGACCTTGGGATTAGAACCAAAACCCAGTTTCTTATCTACCCCTTCCATCTTAGTTTTATTTTGACAGTTTCTCCTATGTGCCAAATCTCTAAGAGGCAGATATAAGAACATTATCATAATAACTGAATTGTTGAAAATGAGATTAATGCGTATGTAACATCACACATCACCAACTCGGTATTAAAAGCCATACAATTTATAGGATGGTGTTGGTTAGTCTTAGTTCAAGTAGGTGACAGGATCTTTCACTTTGCCATCATTTTTGGAGTAGGAGTGAGATTGGGAGATTGATCAGAGAGTTCTTTACCAATAGGACCAATAATTTGCCAGGTAATCTGTGAGTAAGCCCTGAATCAATTTTTAGGTCTATTTGGAATTAAATACTCAAATGGTCCCCTTGGGGTTCTCACCCTGGAATCCTTGGACTCCATCATTGGATTTCTAAAGGGAAGGAAGATTGTAAAGATGTTCATTAAGGGTTATGAAAAAGGTAGAACCATGGATAGGTCTAAAAGTAGAGACTATAACATGTTGTGACAAGCCTTGAGATAAATAATATTTAAAATTAGTTTTCATAAATGGGAAAATTTTAAGTAAACTCTATTTTAAGATAGCATTTTATACAGCTATTCAAACTATGTTTGAGATATAGCACATGTATTTTTATTATGAATAACAGTAAGCAACACTAAAAGAGAAATAGTCAAGAAATTTTTATTTAAATCTACCTCCCTATATTTTTTTAACAAGAGAAGTATTTGTAAAAGGGCCAAGGGAATGTGAGGTTCTCAGAATGACAAAGCTTTGGAACTCAGCTTTGGACTGAGTTTGCAGCTCAGTAAATCTCAAAGCAATTCTTAGATAGAGTTAAGCTCTTCAGACACTCTCTAGAGATTCACATGGCAAAGAGGTATCATAAAAGGCAGATTATCAATGCTCAGCAGAACTAGTCTTCTTGTATCACATCCTTGAAGAAATCCCTCTGAACAGGATTTAGCCTTTTGTCCTCCACCTAGCAGATGATGACTACATCCATGAATGCTTCCCTTCTTTGAGATGGCAAAAATTTTCTTCTCCAGAGGCCTGTGCTTCCATATTGCCCTGGTGGTGGGGGTGGTGATAGGGAAGGAGCAAGAGAGGGAAGATAAGGTAATCAAAATGTGGTAAGTGGACAGCATTTACACAGACAATATTTGACATTCTAAACTTCACACAGTAATTAATTAGGTTATAAAAATCTATAGTTTGAGTTGTAGCTAGACTAATTTATTATTGGACAAAAGGGCAGTTCCAGATACTGGAAAGAAAGGCGATAAGTCTGTGCCCAGGTGAGTAAGAGGAACTCAGAATTTGGAAGCCTTGTATGTGAAAGTTCAGCTGGTCCATGTCTAGGCCAGAGACATCTTTCATTTGATCTGTTGCAATAGCCTATTAACTGATCTCTCTACTTCCTTCATGGTCTGCCTAAAATTCTTTTTTAACAGAGCAGCCGGGGTGATTTTTCCAAAATGTAAGTTAGATTATGTTACTCCTTGACTTAAAGCTTTCTGTGGCTTTCCATCTTACTCAGAATAAAAAGCAAGGTTTCTATAGTGGTTTAACATACCCGTATGTAATCTGTTTTTGGTTACCTCCCTGACTCTTATCATATATATATATATATATATATATATATATATATATATATATATATTTTATTTTTATTTTTATTTTTTTTGCCACTCAATTCTGTCCCCTGTGCATTTGCGTTTTCTGATTGCCCTTCTTGGAGTTGTCTTACTCCTGATACCTGCATCACTGACTCCTTAACTTCTTCAAGACTTTCTTCATATGTCTCCAAGTTGGAAAATCCTTCCTTGACTACGGTATAGCATCTCAACCAACACACTTTCTATTGCCCTTATTCTATTTTACTCTTCTCCATAGCCATTGCTTTTTTATTGACATATAATTAACATGTAACATTAGTTTCAATATTTGTATATATTGTGAAATGGACACCTCAATGTCTAATTTACTATCTATCACTACAGATAGTTAAAATTTTCATGTAATTAAAACTTTAAAGGTCTATTCCCTTAGCAACTTTTAAATATATAGTATTATTAACTAAGCCACTATGCTGTACATTACATTGCTAGGACTTATTTATTTTGTAACTGGAATTTTGTACTTTTTGACCACTTTCACCCATTTTGGCCACTTTCTACCCTCTTTATCTTTGGCAGTCACCAATCTATATTCTGTATTTATGCATTTTTTTTGTTTTTTTAAATTCCACATGTAGGTGAGATCATATGATATTTGTCTTTCTTTGTCTGACTTATTTCACTTAAGTGAAATAATGCCTTCAAGGTCCATCCATATTGTTGCAAATGTCAGGGTTTCCTTTTATATGTATGTCCATCGATGGACACTTAGATTGCTTTCATATCTTGGCTATCGGAAATAATGCAGCAGTGAACATGGGGTGCAGATATCTTTTCAAATTAGTGTTTTTGTCTTGTTCAAATAAATACCCAGAGGTGGAATTGCTGGATCATATGGTAGTTATATTTTTAATTTTTTGAAGAAACTTTATACTGTTCTCCATTGTGGCTGTACTAATTTACATTTCCATCAATAGTGCACAAGGTTTCCCTTTTTCCACATCCTTGCCAGTACTTATATATTTTTTAAATATTTTATTTGTTTATTTTTAGAGAGAGAGGAAGAAAGGGAGAAAAAGAGGGAGAGAAACTTCAATGTGCGAGAGATACTTGATCAGTAGCCTCTCACACACCCTATACTGGGGACCTCGCCCCACAACCCAGGCATGTGCCCTGACTGGGAATCGAACTGGCTACCCTCAGATTGCAGGATGGTACTCAATCCACTAAGCCATATGAGCCAAGGCAACACTTGTTATTTTTGATAATAGCCATTCTAATAGATGTGAGGTGATATCTCATTGTGGTTTTGATTTGCATACTATATATTTTTGTGTCCCCCCCATCTACAACTAAGTCTAAAGTATATCTCTGGTGTTCCAAGGATGGTGAGGGGTTTGACAAAGAATTCACTATTAGTAGTGTAGCATTAGCAGACTAGGCTGGGCCATGCTATTTTAACAGGACTTAAATATCATGCAAAGTTCATTTCTCATTCATACTACATAACCATCATGGGCTACATATAAGAGTATAGCTATACTTTTGTCTTGTTTCCTATCCATTGGGTTGGCCAAAAAGTCCATTTAGTTTTTTCCATAAAATAAAAGACACATTTTTCATTTTCATCAATAACTTTATTGATTTGGATATTTTGAGTATGTTGGCTGTCTCCTATGTGGTATGAAGTTGGTTGTTATCAGTTAATGTCTCGATTTGATTGGTATTAACTTTAATTGGTCTGCCTGGCCATGGAGCATCGTCCAGTTAGAAATCTCTCCAGCAGGAAACTTCTCAAACCACTTTTGACATGTTCGATCAGTTACACCACCTTTTCCATACACTGCACAAATCTCTTTGTATTTTAATTATGTTTTTACCTTTCTTGAAATTATAAAACATAGTACTGAAAATGTGCATTTTCTTCCATATTCAACATTAAAATGGCTGCACAAAAAATTCACCAAATTTGATGTTTTTTTTAGAATGCATGTTGATATGACAGCTGTTACAATATAGTCTAACGAAATTGTTTCAAATGAAGTTAAAGACAACTAAGTGCTACTAGAGCCATCTTACAGAAAAAACCAAACAGATTTTTGGCCAATCCAATAGTTTGTGAGGCCAGGTATCAAGGCCTTGTGGTCTCTGGCATGGGTTGAGCAGCCCCTACTTAGATTTCATGGTTCATAACATAGTCAGAGAGAAGCCAAGAGATATTTATATCTTGGCTTAGCTTGGTGTATATTAGAAGCCTCTGAAAGTCTTTGTCTAGGTATGGAACATGTGCAAGTATATTGGGTTTCTATCTTGAGGATCCATCTTTAACTTAGGCTGTAACTTGGGTAACCTGGTTTGAGGAAAATTGGCTGTATCTGCAAAGGGGGAACTGTATTGAACTATGTTATTATACCCACCTGAGGTCCAGACCAACATCTTTAGACTAGTGTAATGGTCTGCCTGAATCCCTCCTGCAGAGGTAACTGGGACCCTCTGGTGCTGGAGTATATCTGCCCTGAATCCCTCCTGATGTTCTTGGGTTTCACTGATTTAAAGAAGTGCTGGGATTTGTATACAACCCTTTTAGTTTCCATCAGAGAGAGCATATGTGTATATATGTCTGGGAGGTGTAGGGGCAGGATGCACAGAAAGAAAATTGGAAGAGAAATATTTTGGGCATATTTGGGAGTTATTGTTTCCTTCTCCCAGCTGCTTTCTTGGGATGCTGTACTTTTCCAGAAGGGGAATTTAGAAATATACAACTCAGTTTTATAATTTTAAAAGGCATGCTCCAATTGAGTTATTTCTTCTCCCTTGAAATATAATGTCTTTTTAAAAAACTTATTGAGGTATAGTTGCCATATAGTTTCAGGTGTACAACATAATGATTTGCTATTTTGATATATGATGATCACCACAATAACTCTAGTTAATATCTGTCACCATACATAGTTACAAGTATTTTTTTCTTGTGATGGAACCTTCTAGGATCTACTTACTCTCTTAGCAACTTTTATATGTGTAATACAGTACTTTTAAAATCTTCACTCAAGGATATTTTTATTGATTTTAGAGAGAGAGAAGGGGAGGGAGAGAGAGATACACTGATGTGAGAAACATCGATTGGTTGCCTCCCATTTGCACCCTGACCAAGGATTGAAGCCACAACCTTTTGGTATATGGGATGATGCTTCAACCAACTGAGCCACCTAGCCAGAGATGCAGCCTTTTTCTTGCCTGTTATTTTCTTGATTCTGCTCATGTATACTCTGATTCTTTCTAATTCCTGCTTTACTGGGTGTTCCTTAGGATTAACTCCCTGAGTTGCCAAAACATTTAATTTAATGTGTAAGCCAAAACTAAAACCACTACTGCATGTTCAAGCGGGCCCAACTTCTGCAACAACTCATTTCTAAAAACAGACATCTTGATCTTCAGCATGTCACTTATTGCACCGATGGAATTCTCAAATGTTGATAAATACTCATGAATTTCTGCAGGATTATCTCCATTGATTTCTTTTGCCTTTGTGACCAAAGTGGTGTCAGTACCGTTGGTGAAGGCCCTCTTTTGATTACAGACTGCTGACTTCTTGTATTCTCACTTGGGGAAGACCTTTCATTTCAACAGTACAATACAGTTTTATCATTTCAGTGGCTGGTGACTTTCAGGGATGTGGCTATAGACTTCTCACAGGAGGAATGGGACTATCTGGACCCTGCTCAAAGAGACTTGTACAGAGATGTGATGATGGAGAACTATAGCAACCTGGTCTTACTAGGTAAGGTTATTTATCCCTAAACATCATGTGAATTTAGGGTGTATCTTTCAATTGTCTGGGTGGGTTTCTATTTCTTAGGGAATTATTTTGTACTTTGTAGATTAAGATATGAACAGCTTTTGCAATACCTTTATCTTCTCCATTCTTTAGACCTTTATAACTTCTTGCTTTTCACATAGTTGCCTATTTTCTTGAGAACTGGGTTTGAATTCAGCAACAACATGGTTATGTCTTATTATCTTTTCTTATAAACAGGATTTTCTATTTCTAAACCTGATGTGATTTCCTTATTGGAGCAAGGGAAAGAGCCCTGGGTGCAAAGGAACATGGCTGGAGGGTGGTGCCCAGGTGAGTAAGGATTTAACTGGAGAAAGGCACTGCAGTTAAGAAGCCAGTGCTCTGGCTGGTGTGGCTGAGTGGATTGAGTGCCAGCCTGCGAACTGAGAGGTCACTGGTTCAATTCCCAGTCAGGGCATGCCTGGGTTGTGGGCCAGGTCCCCATCTCAGGGCATGTGAGAGTCCACCAGTTGATGTATCTCTTGCACATCAGTGTTTCTCTCCCATTTTTCTCCCTCCCTTACACCTCTCTAAAAAATAAATAATTAAAAAAGAAAAAAGAAGGACCCAGCTTGTGGGATGCAGCATCTTAAAGGTAATGATTGCAGAATCTTTCCCTAGTAGGCCCACCTAAGAGTTGTGGAGAAGAGGCCTAAGATAAGTGGAAAAAAGACCCTGTTTTACCCCTAGTACTCTCTGTTGCTATTCATCTACCTTCATCCCTTCCTGTTTTAAAGCCCTTTTTTTTTCTTGAGGAGATAACCTATTTCATATAACTTGGATCTACTTCTTTCCCTTTTATTACGTATTTTTAAAAAATGATTTTTCAATCACTGTTGATGTACGATACTATATTTCAGGTGTACCATGTAGTAATTAGACATTTATATAACTTTTGAAGTGATAAATCTAGTACCCATCTGACATCATTAATAGTTATTACAATATTATTGGCTATATTCCCTGTAATGTACTTCACATCCCTGTGAGTGTTTTTATAACTGACAATTTGCACATCTTAATTTCTTCCCTTTTTCATTCATTCCCATAATCGCCCTTCCATCTGTCATCAAAATATTCTCTTTATCTATGAGTTTATTTCTGTGTTGTTTATTTATTTTATATTTAGATTCCACAGAGAAGTGAAATCATATGGTATTTGTCTTTGTCAGACTTATTTTACTTAGCATAATACCCTCTAGGTCCATCTATGTTGTTGCAGAGGGCAAGATTTCATTCTTTTTTATGGGTTAGTAATATTGTATATATGTACCACCTCTTCTTTTTCCATTTGTGCATAGACGGACACTTGGCTATTGTAAATAATGCTGCGATGAGCCTATGATTCAAATGTCTTTTCAAATTAGTGTTCGGCTTTCTTTGGATGAATACCTAGAAGTGAAATTGCTGGGCTCTTATTTGTCTCTTATTATAGCCTTTGTTTTAAAGCCTATTTTGTCTGGTAAAAGTATTGATACCCAGCTTTTTTTTCATTCCCACTTTTATGAAGTGTTTTTTTTTATCTCTTTACTCTCAGTTTATGTCCCTCTTTTGATCTGAAGTGGGTCTCTTGTAGGCAGCATACTCATATATATGGTCTTGTTTTCTTATCCATTGAGCCACTCTATGTCTTTTGATTGAAACATTGAATCCATTTACACTTAATTATTGATAGGTATGTAGTTTTGCCATTTTATTATTCATATTTCTTATCTCTTTTTCCCTTTTCTTTTAAAACAAGTCCCTTTAACATTCTTGTAATACTGGTTTTGTGTTGATGAATTTTTTTTTTAGCTTTTTCTTGTCTGGGAAGTTCTTTATCTGTCCTTTGATTCTAAATTATAGCCATGTGGATTAGAGTAATCTTGGTTGCAGATTCTTGCTTTTCATCACTTTGAATATTTTATGCCAATTCCTTCTAACCTGCAAAATTTATGTTGAGAAATCAGCTAGCAGTCTTGTGACAGCTCCCTAGTAGAAAACTAACTGCTTTTCTCTTGCTGCTTTTAATATTCTCTGTTTTTTAATTTTGGCATTTTAATTATGGTGTGTTTTGGTGTGAGCCTCTTTGGGTTCACCTTGTTTGGGAATCTGCACTTCCTGGGCTTGTTTGACTATTTCCTTCACCAAGTTATGGAAGTTTACTGTAATTATTTCTTCAAATAGGTTTTCCATTCCTTGTTCTTTCTCTTTTGCTCTGGTACCCTTATGGTGTGAATGTTTGCATGCTTGATGTCGTCCAAGAAGCCTTTTAAACTTTCCTCATTTTGTTTATCTATCTATTTATTTATTTTTTCAAAGTTTTGATGATCTTACCACATTTGTCATAGATTACATCAAATTGCCACATTAATTCAGCTTCAGTTTTAAAGGCAGAGTACTTATAAATTATAGACAATTCCGTTGAGAATTTCTTAGGCTCATCTGTGACAGATTCTCCGGTTATTAACAATGAAGGCATTGGAACCACAGCCTCACTCAGACCTTCTCCTTCACAGAATATCTGAGAAAAAAACACACAGGTCATTGTTTCTTCCGTCTTTGTAAAAAGAATAAAGTCTTTTCCAATCCTCATGGATCCACTTTTAAGACCATTGCCATATTGCCCAATAAACTTCAAGGGTGATAAACGTTTCTTGTATGTTCCAAAGTAAATTCCTCAGAACGGAACAAAACTCCAGAAAAAGAGGCCTTCCTCAGGCCTCATACCACATCCATCATCCAGGAAGTACAACATGAATCCACCCTGCAGTTTTCCATTATCCACTGAAAACACATCAAGTCTTGCAGCCCCTGCATTTCTTGCATTGTCCAGCAATTCAGCCAGTTTTCCAAAAAGGAAACTGTGGGTGGTGGTGTTGGCATAGATGAAATCCAGATGCAGCTGGGCCCACCCCAGAGTAGCATACTTGTCACCCATGTCCTCTAACGCGACCCGCGCAGCCTCTCTCTGGCAGCCAGAGTAGGAAGCTTGCCCTGTGCTGTAGGCTGATGTGTGGCAAGGTCTAAATTGTTGCTGGTCTTGGATCCACCTTTTGAGCAAATGAGACATCTGAACCAAGCCCCTCTTCTGGACTGAGATATATGTTGTTATCCTCTCATACCCCACCCTGGGCTCTGGCAAAGTCGGGGGGAGAATGGGCTGGAGACACCTGAGGAGAGACTGGGGAGGGAGGCTTTGGGGAGAGAACTGAGAGAGTAGCTGGCAGGATCCTGGTGCTCTATTATTTATTTTTTTGCTCTCTGATTTGGTATTTTCTGCTACTTTATCTTTAAAATCTCTGATTTGAAACTCTGCTTTTTCTATCCTACTGTTGATTCCCTCTAATGTATTCTTCATTTCAGTTATTGTATTCTTCATTTCTGACTGGTTCTTTTTTATGTTTTCTATCTCCATTTTTATGTTTCCTATCTTTTTATTGAAGTTCTCACTGATACTCATTGAGCATCCTTTAACCAGAGTTTTGAACTCTGCATTTGGTAGATTACTTTTCTTCATTTTGCTTAGTTCTTTTTCTGGAGTTTTGTTCCGTTCTTTCATTTGGGACATGTTTTTTTGTCTCCTCATTTTGGCTACCTCCCTCTGTTTGTTTCTGAGTAATAGGTGGAACTACTACAACTCACAGCTTTAGTAGAGTAGAGTTATGTAGTAGGTGTCCTGTGGGGCCCTGTGGCGCACTCTCCCAGGCCACCTCTGCCAGGTGCTTTAGGTGTGTTCCTAGTGTGAGTTGTATGTGTGTTCTCTTGTAGTTGAGCCTGGATTGCTGTTGGCATGTCACTGGGAGGAATTGACTCTCAGGCTGATTGGCTTGAGGACTGGCTGTGACTATAGCAGAAGAGCTGCTGTGCAAGGGCTGACACCACCAAGCAGGTTTTGCATTAGTTGGGTTTTGGTGCCTTTTGAGCCCACAGTTTGGGTATGTTGTTTGTGGAGGTTGTGGGGTTCTGCTCTGTTGTGGTCTGAAGCTGGCCATCAGGTGTGTTGGTTTTGGGGCTTCTTGAAAAGGTTCCTGGGGCAGCCCAAGGTCAGCCACTACCTGTGCCTTCCCCGGAGCCACCTTGTACAAAGTGATATGCTGATTGTTCCTGCTTGTGATGGGTTTGGAGGTTCCTGGGAGAAGCTAAGCTGTGAACTGAGGCTGGCTGCCATTAGTGTTAGTCTTGGAGCCATTTAGCAAAAGGTACAGGGCATATCCAGGCTAGATGCTGCTTGTTTGGGATTTGTGAAGATTTGAGAGATTTTAGGAAAGTCTACAGTGCGAGGTGAGACAGCCCATTTGTATGGAAAAGCCACTGTATATGGCTTGAGTGGATTTATAAGTTGGGTAGAATGGGTTCTCAGGGAATTACCAGGATGGGGTGAGGTGTATTAGCCAGGTTGATGGAGACTCAGATATGGCACTGACCTGAGCCTGCAGCCTGGGTGAGGGGATGGCTCAACAAAGGAACAGTGGATTCTGCCAGCACATTGTCTCAGCGAAAGCTGCCCTGCAGCCCTTGCCCTGAAGCCAGACAATTCAGTTCCTTCCCTGTTTGCCTGGCACTTTGTGAGCTGCTGCCCCTGTGCTGGAGCTCAGAATGAGTGAGTCTGAGTGAGTCTAAAGGGCATAGGCCCTTTAGAAGAATACCTACGTCTCCAGAAGCCCTCCTTTTCACTCAGCTACAATCTCCTCTGGACTTCACAGCCAGAAGGTATGGGGACTTTTCTTCCTGGTACTGAAACCCTGTGCAGGGGAGCTTGGTGTGGAGCTGGGAGCTTTGTACCTCAGGGGTGGACCTCCACAGCTGAGATATTGCTCCTATTATTAACCTCCACAGGTGGGTTTGGATCAGCCAGTTCAGCATCTTTATCCCTCCTACACCAGTCTCCACATAGCTTCTTCTCTATAGGACTTTTGTTCAGCTAGACTTCTGGCAGTTCTCAAGGGTGGTTGTTCTGTATTTAGTTGTAATTCTGATGTGTTTGCGGGAGAGGGAAAGCACAGCATTTACCTATGCTGCCATCTTGACTGGAAGTTCCCTTCTTCCCCTTTTATTTATTTTTAAAGATTTTATTTATTTATATTTAGAGAAAGGGGAAGGGAAGGAGAAGGGGAAAGAAACATTGATGTGTGAGAGAAACATCAATCCGTTGCCTCTCACACGCCCTCAACTGGGGACATGGCCCATAACCCAGCAATATGCCCGCACTGGGAATCGAACTGGTGATCTTTTTAGTTTGTGGGATAACACCTGAACCACTGAACCACACCAGGCATGGTCTCTTCTTTTCCTTGTTGTATGTATGTTTT